TATTATCACACATGAAAGGGATTATGGGTAACACTAGCCGAAGCCCGAACACAGAGTAATCAGAGAATCTGAGAACCAGAACGTCCACATTAATCCGGACACATTTGAAAACGGCGTTTCCGTTTAAAAGCGCTCTCCGTCCACACTAGCGCTTCGAAACGCCTGAAACCGCTAAATTCCCCATTCATCCGCTGATGGTCAGGGCGCTCTCACACAGCATTATGTGTTGGGTCTAAAGCGCTGAAGCGGTTCTCATGTCTCACTGCAGGACAGCAGATGCGAGTGTGTCATCTGTGCAGGGACTGAGATGTGGAGAGTGTGTGAACTTACAGATTTCTGCAACTGCACAGCCACAATACCTGCTATAAACATCAATATCTATGGGTTTAATATGCGTCACATGACTAAACTTACATCATCGCTTTCAAACACCCTCCAGTTTTCTCCGTCCACACTACAGCGAGAAAACTGTTTCAAATGTGTCCACTTTGAAGAGCTTCGTTTTCATTAATAAAAACGCCGTGTCAGAGTCCGACGGAAGACAAAGCGGAGAGAAAAGATGCGTTTCAAATGAAAGTGTGTTAGTGTGGACAAGGAGTGTGTGTTCTCTTCACTGACCGCATGTTATTGAGTCCGCTGGTGTTTCTGTGATGTTTAGTGGATTTCTGATCAACATCATCCATTAATTACAAACAAACTACACTGACTGTCTTCATGTTTAACACTTCATATACTGATTTGGCATTTCAAACTCAACAAACGTTTTTGCAAAATGTTTTGTTTGTAAAGTGTGTTTGAGCATCTTTCTCTACAATAAATGGCACTGGCTGTGATATTTTGCAATAAAACACAATAACATTCAGACATGTGTTGCTATGTGGTTACCAGGGTGTGCTGAGTGGTTGCAAGGGTGTTGCTATGTGGTTGCCAGGGTGTGCTGAGTGGTTGCAAGGGTGTTGCTATGTGGTTCCCAGGGTGTGCTGAGTGGTTGCAAGGGTGTTGCTATGTGGTTGCCAGGGTATGCTGAGTGGTTGCAAGGGTGTTGCTATGTGGTTGCCAGAGTGTGCTGAGTGGTTGCAAGTGTGTTGCTATGTGGTTGCCAGGGTATGCTGAGTGGTTGCAAGGGTGTTGCTATGTGGTTCCCAGGGTGTGCTGAGTGGTTGCAAGGGTGTTGCTATGTGGTTGCCAGGGTATGCTGAGTGGTTGCAAGGGTGTTGCTATGTGGTTGCCAGAGTGTGCTGAGTGGTTGCAAGGGTGTTGCTATGTGGTTGCCAGGGTATGCTGAGTGGTTGCAAGGGTGTTGCTATGTGGTTCCCAGGGTGTGTGCTGAGTGGTTGCAAGGGTGTTGCTATGTGGTTGCCAGGGTATGCTGAGTGGTTGCAAGGGTGTTGCTATGTGGTTGCCAGAGTGTGCTGAGTGGTTGCAAGTGTGTTGCTATGTGGTTGCCAGGGTGTGCTGAGTGGTTGCAAGGGTGTTGCTATGTGGTTGCCAGAGTGTGCTGAGTGGTTGCAAGGGTGTTGCTATGTGGTTGCCAGGGTGTGCTGAGTGGTTGCAAGTGTGTTGCTATGTGGTTGCCAGAGTGTGCTGAGTGGTTGCAAGGGTGTTGCTATGTGGTTGCCAGGGTGTGCTGAGTGGTTGCAAGGGTGTTGCTATGTGGTTGCCAGGGTGTGCTGAGTGGTTGCAAGGGTGTTGCTATGTGGTTGCCAGAGTGTGCTGAGTGGTTGCAAGGGTGTTGCTATGTGGTTGCCAGGGTATGCTGAGTGGTTGCAAGGGTGTTGCTATGTGGTTGCCAGAGTGTGCTGAGTGGTTGCAAGTGTGTTGCTATGTGGTTGCCAGGGTGTGCTGAGTGGTTGCAAGGGTGTTGCTATGTGGTTGCCAGAGTGTGCTGAGTGGTTGCAAGGGTGTTGCTATGTGGTTGCCAGGGTGTGCTGAGTGGTTGCAAGTGTGTTGCTATGTGGTTGCCAGGGTGTGCTGAGTGGTTGCAAGGGTGTTGCTATGTGGTTGCCAGGGTGTGCTGAGTGGTTGCAAGGGTGTTGCTATGTGGTTGCCAGGGTGTGCTGAGTGGTTGCAAGGGTGTTGCTATGTGGTTGCCAGGGTATGCTGAGTGGTTGCAAGGGTGTTGCTATGTGGTTGCCAGAGTGTGCTGAGTGGTTGCAAGGGTGTTGCTATGTGGTTGCCAGAGTGTGCTGAGTGGTTGCAAGGGTGTTGCTATGTGGTTGCCAGAGTGTGCTGAGTGGTTGCAAGGGTGTTGCTATGTGGTTGCCAGGGTGTGCTGAGTGGTTGCAAGGGTGTTGCTATGTGGTTGCCAGGGTGTGCTGAGTGGTTGCAAGGGTGTTGCTATGTGGTTGCCAGGGTGTGCTGAGTGGTTGCAAGGGTGTTGCTATGTGGTTGCCAGGGTATGCTGAGTGGTTGCAAGGGTGTTGCTTTTTTGCCTTTTTTCGCCTTTGTCACCATTGGCTTTTCGCTTGCTTAGTTGGGGACATTTAATGTAATATTCAGCAATATTACTGATCTCCTGCATTGACAGCATTATATGAGAACTGAACTGAGCTGGACGATGACATCACGGTTTTCTCCAGAGGGGCTATATGTATATATATATAAACTAAATTAATAACTTTTTTTTTTTTACAACAAAAATGAACCATCACTGAACTTTCTTAAGCTGGACTGTGATGATATTTTCTTCTGGAAACACACTTTGTTGCATTATTTTCCTGTTATCTCTGTAAAGCTGCTCTGAAACACTCTGTGTTGTAAAAAGTGCTGTGTAAATAAAGCTGACTTGACTCGTTGCTAGGTGGTTGCCAGGGTATGAAAATAATAACGAAAGCGCATTAGTGTGGACAAGGCCTTGAGCTGCATGTTTTAAACGAACCACACAAGATGAAACCCGTCCTGCATCATTAGATCGCGAGCAGCAATTCAACGAGCACCTCCTTCCTGTCACACACAGGACCTGAGTGAGAACAATGAGCGTGTCACACACACAGGACCTGAGTGAGAACAATGAGCGTGTCACACACAGCGCTGGTTTACGGCCCGCAGATATACGGCTCATTAGGGCCCTCAGGAGCCCAGCTGTGTTTGCGGATCGGCCCTCGTGAGCTTTGTTATGTGAGGAGGCTTTTCACACACACTCACACTCATTGTGTGCTAATGACGCCTTTTAAAACACCCTTCAGCGGGAGAAACGCAACACACACTCTTTACACACACTGAAGGGCTCTCCTCCATTCATTTTCACCAGGTTTGCTGTAGGAAAACAGTGATATTAAAGACCAAATTCAATAGTTATGCTTATGAATGATGCAGACGAGCAGATTAATCAGAACAGAAGCGCAGTTTCTTGTTTAGAGTTTTTACAATTATAAAGAAAACGATTAACCATTTCGCTCGTTGCGTTCATATTCTGGCTCATCTGTATATAATATGCATCATCAATAAGCGGAGTGTTGAATTTGGTCTTTTAGTATCACTGTTTTAGTACATTAAGGCGTGTTTCACGTTTATGTCGCGCTGGTTTTAGTGATTTCATCATAATATCAAATATCAGCACAATATCAAATATATATATATACATTTTCGTTCAAAAGTTTGGGATTGGTACAATTTTTTATGTTTTCAAAATAAGTCTCTTCTGCTCAACCAAGGATGTATTTATTTAATTAAAAATAGGGAAAAAAAACAGTAATATTGTAAATATTATTATAATGTAAATCATCTGTTTTCTATGTGAATATACAGTAAAGTGTAATTTATTCCTGTGATCAAAGCTGTATTTTCAGCATCATTACTCCAGTCTTCAGTGTCACATGATCCTTCAGAAATCACTCTAATATGAGGACCTGATGCTCAAGACACATTTATGATTATCATCAGTGTTGAAAACAGTTCTGTACAAATTTTTTAGGATTCATTGATGAAAAAAAGTTCAAAACAACAGTAATTTCTTTTTTATAAAAAGCTTTTGTAGCATTATACACTACCGTTCAAAAATTTGGGGTCCGTAAGATTTTTTTTTTGTTTGTTTTTTTGTGGGAAATAAATAAAAGAAAATGAATACTTTCCTTCATCAAGGACGCATTAAATTGATCAAAAGTGACATTAAAGACATTTATAATGTTACAAATATTCTATTTCAGATAAATACTTTCTATTCATCAAAAAAAATCCTGAAAAAAATTCTGCACAGCTGTTTTCAACACTGATAATAATCATAAATGTTTCTTGATCATCAGATCCTCATATTAGAGTGATTTCTGAAGGATCATGTGACACTGAAGACTGGAGTAATGATGCTGAAAATACAGCTTTGATCACAGGAATAAATTACACTTTACTGTATATTCACATAGAAAACAGCTGATTTACATTACAATAATATCTCACAATTTTTACTGTATTTTTGACCAAATAAATGCAGTTTTGGTGAGCAGAAGAGACCATTTCTGTGTGTGTGTGTGTGTGTGTGTATATATTGTAATAATTTCAAAAGTTATAAATCTGTAGATGTGTGTGTAACACGAGATGCACAACAGACAATACTCAAGTCTAGTCACAATGTTTCAAATCATTACCGGCATGTTCAGTTATTTCATGTCAAAATATCATAACTTCTGTCAGTCTGAGCAAATGACAAGCTGAGATGATGTTAAACCTGGAAACAGACGGTCAATTCGAGCACAATGCATTGTGGGACACATTATCATTTATTTTAGGGAACTCAAGTGGTGTGTTCAGTTGCACATTTTAGCAAATGCAGTGAGTCACAGAAGTGTTATGCAGAATACTTCAATAATGATGCGAACACTGTCACATGACTGATGTAGGACGCAACTCTCTCTCGAAGCAGAATGTTGTGCAGTGTTTCACTCTTTAACAAACGTATGATAGAATGCTATTGTGAGCAGGGCTGGAGTGTGTGAGCGAGAGCGGTTCATGCTCGTGTGTGTGTGTGTGTGTGTGTGTGTGTGTGTGTGTGTGTGTGTTTGACTGACCTCAATGACCTGCTTGGAGTCCAACCTGAAGTTAAAGTCCCCGAAGACGAAATACGGCAGCCGCTCGAACCGCTGATCCGTGATCCTGCAGAGACACACACACACACACACACACACACACACACACACACACACGAGTCAGACATGATCTGTGCAGCAGCCCCACCTAGTGGACGAGTGTGTGTGAGTGACAGATGATTGACAGCTGATCGGCAGTGATGTCACACTCTTACTGAACATGTATGTGTGTCTCTCTCTGTGTGTGTGTGTGTGTGTGTGTGTGTTCAGTTCACTCTCAGTACGATTCATGAAGTGCCGAACTCAAGAGGTCTCAGAAACGCCTCTTTCCGCTTAAAAAACGCACCTTAAACGAGGGATAATTAACTCCCCATAGCAAATAATTTACTTGAGAGAGTGATGAAGAATTGGAGCTGGAGTGTGTGTGAGTGTGTGTGTGTGTGTATGGATTAATGGAAAGAGGATGCTAGGCCGGCTAATCGCCGGGATAAATCTCAGCTCACTCCCAACACCTAATAACAATGTATTTATGGCCCCGTAAAAGAGAAGGCTCTCCGCGCTCATAAAACACACACTTTTACATCTCCGGCGCTACACACACACACTCGAGCTCACCATCTCAAACTGGCCTGAGTAAAACACAGAGGAGAAGACATCTCACACACACCCGAGGGTAAAACACAGAGGAGAAGACATCTCACACACACCCGAGGGTAAAACACAGAGGAGAAGACATCTCACACACACCAGAGGGTAAAACACAGAGGAGAAGACATCTCACACACACCAGAGGGTAAAACACAGAGGAGAAGACATCTCACACACACCAGAGGGTAAAACACAGAGGAGAAGACATCTCACACACACCCGAGGGTAAAACACAGAGGAGAAGACATCTCACACACACCAGAGGGTAAAACACAGAGGAGAAGACATCTCACACACACCAGAGGGTAAAACACAGAGGAGAAGACATCTCACACACACCCGAGGGTAAAACACAGAGGAGAAGACATCTCACACACACCAGAGGGTAAAACACAGAGGAGAAGACATCTCACACACACCAGAGGGTAAAACACAGAGGAGAAGACATCTCACACACACCCGAGGGTAAAACACAGAGGAGAAGACATCTCACACACACCCGAGGGTAAAACACAGAGGAGAAGACATCTCACACACACCCGAGGGTAAAACACAGAGGAGAAGACATCTCACACACACCAGAGGGTAAAACACAGAGGAGAAGACATCTCACACACACCCGAGGGTAAAACACAGAGGAGAAGACATCTCACACACACCAGAGGGTAAAACACAGAGGAGAAGACATCTCACACACACCCGAGGGTAAAACACAGAGGAGAAGACATCTCACACACACCAGAGGGTAAAACACAGAGGAGAAGACATCTCACACACACCCGAGGGTAAAACACAGAGGAGAAGACATCTCACACACACCCGAGGGTAAAACACAGAGGAGAAGACATCTCACACACACCAGAGGGTAAAACACAGAGGAGAAGACATCTCACACACACCAGAGGGTAAAACACAGAGGAGAAGACATCTCACACACACCCGAGGGTAAAACACAGAGGAGAAGACATCTCACACACACCCGAGGGTAAAACACAGAGGAGAAGACATCTCACACACACCCGAGGGTAAAACACAGAGGAGAAGACATCTCACACACACCCGAGGGTAAAACACAGAGGAGAAGACATCTCACACACACCCGAGGGTAAAACACAGAGGAGAAGACATCTCACACACACCAGAGGGTAAAACACAGAGGAGAAGACATCTCACACACACCAGAGGGTAAAACACAGAGGAGAAGACATCTCACACACACCAGAGGGTAAAACACAGAGGAGAAGACATCTCACACACACCAGAGGGTAAAACACAGAGGAGAAGACATCTCACACACACCCGAGGGTAAAACACAGAGGAGAAGACATCTCACACACACCAGAGGGTAAAACACAGAGGAGAAGACATCTCACACACACCCGAGGGTAAAACACAGAGGAGAAGACATCTCACACACACCAGAGGGTAAAACACAGAGGAGAAGACATCTCACACACACCAGAGGGTAAAACACAGAGGAGAAGACATCTCACACACACCAGAGGGTAAAACACAGAGGAGAAGACATCTCACACACACCCGAGGGTAAAACACAGAGGAGAAGACATCTCACACACACCAGAGGGTAAAACACAGAGGAGAAGACATCTCACACACACCAGAGGGTAAAACACAGAGGAGAAGACATCTCACACACACCAGAGGGTAAAACACAGAGGAGAAGACATCTCACACACACCCGAGGGTAAAACACAGAGGAGAAGACATCTCACACACACCCGAGGGTAAAACACAGAGGAGAAGACATCTCACACACACCCGAGGGTAAAACACAGAGGAGAAGACATCTCACACACACCCGAGGGTAAAAACACAGAGGAGAAGACATCTCACACACACCCGAGGGTAAAACACAGAGGAGAAGACATCTCACACACACCAGAGGGTAAAACACAGAGGAGAAGACATCTCACACACACCAGAGGGTAAAACACAGAGGAGAAGACATCTCACACACACCCGAGGGTAAAAACACAGAGGAGAAGACATCTCACACACACCCGAGGGTAAAACACAGAGGAGAAGACATCTCACACACACCCGAGGGTAAAACACAGAGGAGAAGACATCTCACACACACCAGAGGGTAAAACACAGAGGAGAAGACATCTCACACACACCCGAGGGTAAAACACTCACTGGAGGTCCAGTTTCTCCCAGTACAGTCAAACCAAACATTATTCAGACACCAGATATCATTTTTGATATGTTTCACTAGTGTGATCAGGACACTATAGTGTATTTCTGTAAGTGAGGAGAGCAAAATAAAGGAAACTGAGACATATTATACCCAATAACTCTTCACACAGTGACTACCAGTGACATTAATAAAGATGTGGGAGCAGAAATGATTCCTCCACTTTGAGCTGATGATGTTTTGCTGAAGTGTGTTTTCTGTAATTGCTAATGCTCTTTTTACACACACACACACTCAGGGCCGTCGCCAGAACATATAGAATGGGGGGGCATTTCATTTTCATGGGGGGGGGCACACTTTTTATGATCTACAAAACAGACAGTCACAAAAATATGGAATTACTTTTGTGCCAATAATAATGAACGTAACTTTTCAAGAAACTGATGAAAATATAAATTGAAACTGAAAAAAATATCTTTGAAACTGAAAAAGAATAAATCGCGGGGCACATTTTTTTACTTCGTTCTTAATACACTGCATGTTTTGCTAACTATTTCTCATATTTCTTTCGCTGATCTGAACTTACAAATGCGCTTCCAGAGTTTTCAGTTACGCTTCTGAAGTTTTCGTTTACGCTCCCTGAGTTTTCGTTCGCAGTTCTGACACATATCTCTTGTGGGGGCGGGGCTAGTAGCAGTGTGTTCTCATTGGCTACTGAGTTTTTGATTGACAGCTTCGTGACCTGGAAGTGAAGACGTCAGTGTTGTGTTTACGTGTTTGAATGTGAGCGTCTGTAAGCGCAGCTTTCTATTTCATTTTACTGATATTAAGTTTGTATCTATATTTATTTGCTGGTCCACTATATTGTTGAGATGATTTCTTATAGAAGGAATAGTAGCCTACAGACGAATGATATCATTATCATTAGTCATCGTCACTATCAGGATACTGGATACTCGTGGTAAGTCTTTTTTTTGTTTGTTTTTTATACAATACTAATACTATTTATAATACAGTACTTGCTTTTTAAGGTGGTGAGGCATTTTAGAGCTCAGTGAGCCCATAACATTATACAGTGTTGTCTTGATTCAACTGTTAGCCCAATCATTACATGACTTGTTTATCTACATACGATTATGTCTTTGATTAGATCATAGTTGCTTCGATTAGATAATATTCCCCCCAGCCACCCCAAACAACATTGGGCTAGACTACTGTACAGTATCTGTACTGTGTAGCCTACAGTACAAAAAGTACTGTATCAGACAATGACCGATGCCATTGGACCAGAGCGCTGTCGATCACTGCCTGATTCAACTTTGGCAATGTAAAGCCTTTTTTACCATGCCAATAAAGCTATTTAAACCTGAATTTCTCAATTTCTGATTAATTTGTGATGCAGAGTTTTTGAACTCAGGCCACAGACCACATCTCTGTTCATGATATGTAAACACACAATTATTTTGAAGTTTCACCCTGGTCACAATATTTATTCTGATTACTTTTGTGTGATAAAGATGACTGATAAAGCTATTATATGTAGCTAGTACAAGTAACAAAATGCTTTTTCTGTGTCCATATTTGACTAATAATAATGCAAAAATGTTCACTTCAAATTAACATGTCTGAGAAAAATGTTTAATATTTAATACTCTTTAATAATAAATATATGTCCAAATTCAAAAATTAATACATGCAAGTAATTATGACTGAAAACATCCAGCAACTAGGGAATACACAGCCATGGATATATGTTATAGGGCTATAACAGCCATCTACTGGTTACACAACAGTATTACAGATGATAAATGGTGCATGACTCAGATGTAAATATTTAGTACTGTAAAATCCCTTAAAACATTATATAATTTGTTTGAAATAAATATTTTAAGTCTTCAACTTGTTACTGTATGTGGGAGTTCAAATCAGTTTGTATTGATTATAATATGTTTCCTTTCTCATTTTCCAGGGAGTTGAGCAACTTTTCCATAAACAAAATTCTGATGCTGACACAGAGGATGGAGTGATAGTACCAGAGATACACTGTCCACATCAGACAATAATCTTACTTTGTTCAGACACATCACATTTGAATGACTGGGATCTTGATCTTCAGACACCGGATTTATTTTGTTTTTATAAAAAAGCAAATATTTTAATTTCCTCTAGATCAAAACACAAGTTCACAAGTACACAAGAGGTTGCACTTAATTTATATTAGTTTATGCTGATCATGGATTAGCATACCAACAGCATATGAATGTTAAGGGGATAGTTCACCCAA